TTTTCTACTTATCTATACATATATATATGTATGTATATATATAGATATACATATATATATACAGATATATGTATATACATATATATAAATATATAATACCTATAAATATATAAATAATACACATATACATATAAATAATATGTACACGTAACAGATCCGCCGTTATTATGCATCAGTTATTTATGTATTTATGCATATATGTATGTATGTATATGTACATATATATATATAATTATGTAATAATTATAATTATATTTATAATTATATATAGTTATATTATATTAATTATATATAATTATATTATATTAATTATATATAATTATATATATATATACATATACATATATATGGGTACGTGTGTGTATATGTATAAATATATAAGATAGATTCGCTGGGTTACGAACGAATTAACTGTGAAACCGTAACGATTCACTCTGGGATTCGCCCTCTCGATAAATATATATATACATATAAGCGATTCGCGAGCGTGTCGGGCGAAGAACGAAAGCTGGGTAGTCGACAAGGGAGGACGATGGGCGGCGAGGGGGGGGAAAGCTGTTGGAATAATTATGAGATATAAACTTCGTCACACTAGATCTCTCGGCTCGTCGACGAGCCGGAGCTCCGTAGAGTTTCATACTTTTGCAAATAATCGAAATCTCGTCGATACACTATTACATCTCTCTCTCTCTCTCTCTCTCTCTCTCTCTCTCTCTGTCTCTATCTCTTTCTGCACAGGCGAAATATGTACAGTATCGAAGTGGCTCGGAGGGGAGAACGTGGACCGCGGTGTCCGAGTTTCAATCATTTTTTCCCCCATTTGATCGCGCGTGCCAGGTGATTCGAAGGGTCGATCGAGAAGGATCGGGGCGAAGGATCGACGACGCTCGGGGTCGTCGACGATCGTCGAATCGAGTCGAGACCACGATCGGGGGAGTTCGTCGCCCAGCAAGGAGGAAACATATTTTATCGTTCGCCGTCCGATCGACGGCTCGGCCCGATTCGACTGGATTGGACTCGGCGCGGAAAAACGGGGACGACGCGCGAATCGAGATCGAGGCTAAAAGAGTCGCGCGAACGGAAGGAAAGCCGAACGGAGGGAGACGATCTTCATACGGGTCGACGAATGTCGGTTGAACAGTGACAAGAGTTGCCTTAATTATTACGCGAGATCGCGAAGGGGACGCGGACGATCGACGAGGGTAAAAGAGAAAGCGGCGAGGAACAGGCCGGCAGGCTGGAACGCGGCAAAAACGCGAAGGGTTTTTCTATACGAACAAAGCGTCTACGCGCGCGCGACTTCGAAGAAGTAAGTTTAATTGTCCCCGCTCGCTCAATCGTTCCATCTCGCGCACATTTCATCGTCGAACGGAGGAGATCGGAGGAGAGCCAGCTCGCCGGCGAAGATCCGCTTTGCACGAAGGGCCGCGGACGTCGCGTTCCCTTTTCCCTCCGTCGATCGATCGAGACGTTGGGAACACGATCGAGCGAACGATCGTCGAGCGAATCGACGGAAAATCGACGGTAACCGATTGCGGCGAACGGCCCCTCGCGCGGATCCACGTTCTCCGCGGAAGCGGTGACACGCTCGCTTCGAGCCCGTCGCCGCGCGACCGGCGCGAGAGACGACGTCGTTCGAGCACGCGATCGCAGTCGATTATAATCGTTATCGAGGCACACGCGGTGCTCCGACGCGTGCGGAACAAGCAGACGTTTCCCTGGTCCGCGATAGAACGAAAACCACGGACGGACATGCCGGAAGCTCGACGGGCGAGCCGCGGATCTCCGCGCGGATCCGCGATTTTCCAGGCGGATTTCTAGGCGGACTCGGCTAGGATTCGATTCAGGGATCGAATTAGGAATAGTTGGAGCGTGTAGACTGCAACGCGAGGTCGGACCGTGTCCCGCAGTCGCGTTCGAGTTCATCGAAGTCACCGCGGATTCACGGTCTTCTCGAGCCGCGAGCGCGAGGATCCGCGGGCCGGCCGCGGGTCTCGGGGGACCCGGTCCGCGGGATCGAGCGCGGACGGGGCAGGATATCGGGGATGGAAAAGGGACGAAAAGGGCGAAAAGGGACGCGACGGGTCGCGCGCGGCCGGTGCCTGAATTGAAACGCGCGAAGAAACGGGGAAATGTGTGCGTGTGCTTCGCGCGAGTGAAACAGCGAAAGGGTGGTGACAAAGGAAGGGGGACAAAGGGACCGGAGGAGAGAAAGAGAGAGAGAGAGAGGGCGAGACATGGAATTCCGTAGAACCGTTTAATAGTCGCGCGTACCATTGTTATATATATACGTTGTGTAAAGGTGGAGAGAAAACAAGTGGAAAAATCCCATTGAAAGCTTTAATAACTTCGACTAAACCTAACTTTAAAAATGACAAAGGGTATATAATAGGGAAAACGTAACGCAAATATCGAGTGCGCTGCTGCCAGTTGCGTGAATGGCGGACGATTGGCGGCCGATTCTGCGCGACCGGTTGCTTTTTCCGCGTCCACCGGCGCAACGGCTCACGTTTTTCAAAAAAAACAAACAAAAACAGAAATTCACGCGAGTTCACGATCAGCGACGTTCGCCGAAAAACCCGCGGAACGATCCACGGTCGGGATCCACTACCTCCGAATTCAACGCCGGCCGATTCGCGCGTTCATCCCCCCGCTTACAATCGTCGTCGTCGTCGCCGGGCGCGATGGCGACCGGCTCGCGCAACATCCCGGCAATCTTCGCGTTACTGTACACTTACTGTATATTACTTATACATATATACATAAATATATACATATATACATATACATAGGCGTATGCATACGTGAAAATGCAGAAGGAACACTTGTTTTTCTCGTGGGCGGTAGGGACTGAGAGCGAGTGAAAACGAGAGAGAGAGAGAAAAAGTGCGAGCGAGCGAGAGAGAGAACGGGAGAAAGAGCAGATCCAGCGCAGATTCTACCTTTATATGTACTATTACACCTGTCCGCGCCACGTCGAGATCGCGAACGACAGGAGCGACGATTAAGCGCGATCGCGATCGGCCGCATACAAGCGATCGCATTTTCTCCGATCGTTCGCCGCGTTCGGCGCCGCGTGCCCAGAGTTTTTCCTTTCCGCGTTCACTTGTTTGCCAAGCCGTCAGGTGTTGGCGCTTCGCGTTTCTCGCCTTTCAGAGCCGGTCGCGTTAAGAACCGGCACACGATGCGAACGGTTTCAAAACGGTTCGACGAATCGCTGGGCACGCCACGCGGGAAACGCGGCACCGCCGGGGTTTCTTTCATCCCTCGTCGGTGATCATCGGTGTTGACCCTCGCGAGGCCGGCACGCTTCTCTCGCGGTTTTCGGTGCCGATCTCTCTCTCCTTTCACGTATTTCCGCGACCTGTTATTGTTCACCTCGAGAGAGAGAGAGAGCAAGACCAATTTCCTCTGTCGGACCTAGCGCGACAGTGCCGACCGTTCGAATTGGCTTCGAATCGGGAGATCGATTTTTTGAAGGAGAAGTTCGCGCTGGCCGAGGGTCGATACGGATGATCCGTGGATCGCGACACCGGTTCGCGACGCGCGAACGGAAGCGACGATCTTGCGAAGAGCGCGTCTGGCAAGCGTCGCCGGGGCAGACGCGCGAGAAACGGGCCCAGAATCGGCGAACGGCGCGATCGGGAATCTCCTGTGAGAAAAGAGGCGAAACGGGTTCGCGGGCTTGCCGTGTCGCGGACGTTCGATTGTATCGCGTCCGTTTCCCCCGTGGTTAGGCGAACAGGATTGTGTCGCGTCTGCCAGGAAACAGGGGGAGGGAGGGGTGCTCCCCCACCCCACGTGCGCCGCGGGGACGGATGCGAATAACGAAAAAGATTAAAAAAAAAACAACAACCGTAAACGATAAAATTCTCGATTATTCTTTGAATTTACGAAATAAAAAAATGAGGAAAATGATAAAAAAACGACCGGTTCGGTGTCGAGCGTGAATGTGCGAGCGAGAGCGAATTATAGAGCGAATTATAGAACGAACGAACACGATCGTAAACATGATTGCATCATTACTTATGTACTATGCAGTAAAATGAGAGAGAGATGATACCTACCTTATACATATAAAAAATATATATATATATATTTAAATATATATATATAAATATTATATATACATATATGCGTGTATAGCATGTATGTACATATACATATATACATAGCTAGTTCAATTTGCAAATTAGTGTGTATCGTCGCTTCGAAATGCCCAGTCATTACTCGCCAGAATCCAAGAACCTAACAACCGATTTCAAGTTCATTCTTTTTTTAAGGAAAAAACCAATAAAATAATGTGTTAAAATAATCGGTGTTCATTGCTTCGCGAGGGACACGCGCCGTCCATCCTGTAGCCGGAGATCGTCGATTTCTCGACGAGAAGAATGTGAATAAGTTGATGCGATTGGTGCTGGAATTGTTACAAATATTAATATAATTTATTATAGAATTTGAAAATCGCGGTGTTCGCGACAAGTAGCGCCGCGCGCGGCGAATCTTTGAATCAGAGTAACGGGGTTCGTACAGCGCCAAAACGTGCAGTGGCAAAACGCTCAAACTGTTCGACGAATTGCCGATCGAAACTGTCTCCTTGGTGCCGCCAGATGGCGCCACCGTGCGTTTCCGTATGAAAATTTACTCCGCCGGTAATTCGACGAGCAGTTTGAGCGTTTTGCCGCTGCGCGTTTTGGCGCTGTACGGACCTCCGAATTCTGTTTCAATATTTGACCACCGGCGGCGCCACCTGTCGCAAAAGGCGCTCTTTTTCAAATCTTAGCGTGCATACAATTAGGTCAATTCTTTGCACCTATTTCATATTTTATTTGATTATCGACTCCGATGATGAGTAAAAAATCGATGGCTATTAGGAAATGGAACGTTCACTCACAAATACGCGACTTTAATTATTTTATAAGCGTTTAAAGTTACGAACGTAGCGAAAGCATTTTAAAAATAGAAGTGTTTAATGCAGCCTCTATCCATTGGATTCTACGACATAGGAGCGCTGTTTTGGTAAGTTGAAAACTAGCCAGAAAACTTAAGTTTAATCGAATAATCTGAAAGTACATATATCGTCTGTATCGATCGACGTCTGATCCCTTGGTCGTCCTATTCTACTGCGTTGAGGATATATGTCTATAAGGCCATCTATCGTGCGTTCTACATGGTTCGAAGTATCCAAAGTTTTGGAATAGTGGCTAGCCGGCTCTCAATATTTAGAGGTATTTATCACGAATATTACGCTCTAACAACCTTCTCCCTGTTCAGTTTTACGAAGCTTGTTTCCTTGGAAACGATTTCCAATATAATTCTTATGAATTTTATCAATCCAACAAACCGTGTACCGAAACTATTGCAGCGATTATAGGTTATGTAATTTCCAGCATTTCTCTCAACCAACAGACGTTACGCTACAATGTCTGAAACTTTGAACAAAGTGCCTGACGTGGATATCGATGGTCATGGAAGATTCAAGTATATTTTAATCAATGTGCAAGATGAAAATACTAAAGCTACCAAACCCATTGTCAGGGGCTATGCCAAGTCACCGTATCACGGTGAGTCGATTTGCTATGCTCTTCTCTTCAATTGCGTATATTTATTTGTTGTATCCGGCTTATTTAGTTGGTTGACATATTCAAATATTTTGCGAGCTTGTCTCAACGCTTTACCTACCAGATACCTATCGATCCTCGTGCATTCCTCAGAGATGTGGACATACTTTCTGTTTATTTTTCAGTTCAAGGATTTTGTATTAATTACAGTATCTAGCTTGAAACACAAACATATCAAATTAAATGGTATTCAGGGGAAAGAAAAAGTTCCCCTTTACCGAAAAACTGGAAACGGGAGAACGTTTACCTAAAAAGAATGACTTAATTTACTTAATAATTCTCCCACGTAACTCTAGATAACTTATTATCTCACAATCATGGTAAAGTATTATTAATTTTAAATTAACACCGTACGATTTCTCACCTGTGCCCACGAATGTATCGTGCGTTTCGATCGAGGATAAAAATGTGACAAGTTCCAGTGGCGAAATAATCAAGTCTGTGGTACATATGATAAAATTCCCGTTTAATAGTAAATCGTTCACAAGCTGTTCACAACATTAGGCGTGCAGTCCACGCATACTGTTTTACACGTTCGTATGCAGGTAGCTTTACTATGTTCAATAACAAATAGACGACCTGTACATCTCTGCGTGTAGACGATTCTTCTCTCCGTCCATCGAATGGTTACTATCCTACAAGGTACAGTGACTTAGAGGATGCTTAGCTTAGTTACACAGAACATTCACGTCGAGACAAATAAAAACCTAGAAATTACGTGACGATCGTCAGCTAAAAAAATAGATCTCAGATATACATATATATAGAATATGTATATATCATCTTCCGTGTGTACAATTGACTCCCGAGGTGGGTGGCTGCGCTTGTCCGTGTATATTATGTGTGCGTGTCTGTAGTGTATGTGTGTGTGCGCGCGTAGTGAGTCAGGATGAGTAGATTCCACAGCGTGTGATCCAGGATCACTGATCCATGTTGCAGAGCAATCGGAAGGGCAGTATAACTTTCACCGTAGGAATATCGTGAGAAGGAACCGCACGGGAGTGACTCGCAACGATTTTACTTGGTTTCATTGGCAAAGTGGTATAACAGTGGCCTGTTAGATCGACATCCATCGACGTTACATCATAGATCTCGCGAAGCACGAGCTCCCAGTGAACTTCCCTTCTCGGACAAAGAGCTGTACAAGGATTTCGCGTGGAAACCAGCGACGAAACGCGCGTGACACGCGAGACTTCGTCGCGAAGTTCACCCGCGAAGTCCTACACTCGCGCTTATCGCGTCGTGAAATTAGGCTCGTGCTTTTACTAAGAAGCCCTCCTGAAGCAGCACCAAGCCCTGTGTATGTCGAATCCAAGCTTGCAGTTCTTGTGGTTCGCGGCCTTCACGTTCCTCGACTCGCTGTTGCTCCTCGACGACGACCTCGTTGCCTCGGCGGTCTGCACCTGCCCTCAGGTGCTGTCGCCCTCCTCGCACCGCTCTATCAGATCCACGTCGATGTCCCTCAGCTCTTTCGACTTCTCCTTGATCGGCTCCAGCTTGCTGCCTTTGTACCTGTGCTGACCGTTGTCCTCGGACCTGTCGAGACTCTCCGCCGGCTCGTCGCTCGGCTTCCCCAAAAGCTTGGCCGGCTCGCCAATAGGCGACGGGAACCCGACCAGGTCCGGGTCCGTGTTCGTGTGCATCAACGTGAACGGCAGCTTCAGGGACACCTCGCCACCCATCGCCGAGATCAGCAGCTTCACCTGTGAAACAGCGGATTAGTCGAGTCTGAAAATGTTCGTCGACCAGAATCGCGGTGAAGTCGAGTCGAGGATTCGACCACCTTTCGCCGAGGTTTGCGGCTTGAGTCGAGCTTTTGAGATGTGCGGAGAGTCGTCGGGGTTTATGTTCGGGATAGTCGTCGAGATAGAAATAGAACCGACCGCGAAGTGCACCTCACTATGATACTAGTCGCGAGTAAACTGCGGATCTTCGCAGAGAGAGAGAGAGAGAGAGAGAGAGAGAGAGAGAGAGAGAGAGAGAGTATAGAGAGAGAGAGAGAGAGAGTGAGAGAGAGAGAGTATAGACAGAGAGAGAGAGAGAGGATAAAGATAGATAGATAGAGAGAGGGAGAGAGAGAGAGAGGATAGAGAGAGAGAGAGAGGATAGAGAGAGAGGATAGAGATAGATAGGATAGATAGATAGATAGATAGATAGATAGAGAGAGAGAGAGAGAGAGGATGTTAAATCGTTTGGGGGATGTTAAATTTCCATATAAATTCAACGAAACGAACTTCTCGGGCAACGTAACAAATTGTTGTTCCAAACGAATTATGCATTAGGTTGCTCGGAAAGTTCGTCCCATTGAATTTATATAAAAGAGCAGAAAAGCAAACTTTCCGAAGAACTTAACACAGTAAATTCTCCCCAATTGTCCGCCAGCTTGTGAACAAAAGTGAACAATGGCTCGTTTGTATAATTGTTGACGATCGACGACTATAAAAAAATACTATAAAATGAATAGTCGTATCTCCTCCTCCGAAATTGTCCATTTTCGTTTACAAGCAGAGGAACAATTGGAGAGAATTCACTGTACATAGAAGCAGAAGTTACATCTTAAATTTGCATCTCTTATTAATGACAACAGTGTACTTAAATTCTGATACTTTCACTACTCCGCGTTTCACTCGTTTTTATCGCGAACGCATAAAATCCACGGTCTACTCGCGAGCAATAAAGCAGGCGGAAGGGGCGAAGTCGCAAGGAGAATGAAATCTGATCAAAGGCCATTTCCCTTTCCGGAAGTGTGCACAAAAATTCGCGTTGCCAGTATGCTGCGCCAGTTACGCAACAATGCAATTTCGCTCCATCAGTCGCCAACAACGAACAAGCGTTTGGCAACGAGTACCTGGCATGCGAACGCAGTTTTTCCGCGCTGTCTCGACTCGTTGAACCGAGTACAGTCGCTTCCTAAGTAAAGGGGCAATGAAGAGTGCATCGTTGGCAATGTAGTTAGTCGGCGAAACTTAGTTTCGCGTACCGAAACGTTCGTTTTTGATGTACATACAGTAAATTCTCCCTAATTGACGCTCGGCTCGTACATAAAAACGGGAAATTTGGGAGGAGCAGATACGATTATACGAGCCTCGCGGCTCGTTTTTGTACAGGGTGTCCCAAAAACGCCTCGCAATCCAGAAATGGAGGGTTCCAGCTTGAATTGCTATGAATCCTTTTGAAAATGTTATGCGAACGTGCATGGAAGATGGAGTCCCGAATCTTCGCATGATTTACAATATAATTATAATGCAAGTAAAAATAGTAAAATCTGAATAGCATTCATATACAGGGTGTTCCAGAATTATTTTAACAGCCGAAAATGAGGGGTAGCTGAGGTCATTTCAAGTAACTTTTTCCTTTGCGAAAATGCGATCTGCGGCTTCGTTTACGAGTTATTAGCGAAAAACGCTGGCCAATGAGAGGCGAGCTCGACTGGCCCGAGACGGCCGAGCCAATGAGCGGGACTGGGCTTCGTGCGCCGGGACTCCCCGCGCCAGCCGAGCTCGCCTCTCATTGGTCTCCGTTTTTCGTTAATATCTCGCAAACGAAGCCGCGGATTGCATTTTCGCTAAGGAAAAAGTTACTCGAAATGACTTCGGGAACCTTTCACTTCCGGATTACGAGACATTTTTGCGACTCCTTGTAGTTTTCGATCGTCAACAGCGATAAAAACGAGTCGCGAGGCTGGAACAATCGTTCTTCTACTTCTACAAAGAATTTATATCTATTGTGCAAGATATTTTTAACATTTTTTAAGTTCTACGATTTCGAATCTCTTCTCGACATTCGTTATAGTCGTCGCAAAATTGATTGCCCATTTTTCTCTCCAAGCTCGATTAAGGAGAATTTACTGTACTCGCGACCCGAACTTCGAGCTACGGAAGCTCGTTCCTCGACCAAGGAAAAACGAACAGGCCGAAAACTTCGTAGCTCGCTGTAAAAGAAGTTTCCACCGGATTCAGCAAGTTGTCCGGGTGACGCGAGAACTCCCGGAGTTTTCCGCGAGAATACGTGAGAATCGTAAAATTCGCGCGAGTCCTCGGGTTCGAAAATAGCGGTGACTCCGAGGGTCCCCCCTTTTAGTTTCACGGCGGAGCGAAATTCGTCGCGGAACGGCCCAATTATTATTACCTTCACGTAGTACGACACGTAAATCGCGAAAACGTTCCTGTCGTCTGGCGAGCTTCCAGGGCAGACGACCGTGGAGGCTAAATTGGCGCCCGCCTTCGTGTAGCTGTCCTCCAACGCGATCCAATTCTTGGTCGAGCCCTTCATCGGTCGGAGGGTGTAGGTCCTCTTCACGGCGCTGCCGGACACGATCGGGCAGCCCTCCTGCGACGACAGCCGGGCCACCACGTTCTTGAACTTCCCGTTGCTGAACATGCACACGTCCACGTGTTGCACGATGAAAATCTGCGCACGGTCAAAGGTCAAAGCGGAACGTTATTAATCCTCGGCCCCGCGAAACGGCGAGGAGCCGCGTTCGACCGAGTTTACCCCCGGCGAAAATAATCGCCCCGCCCCCTACCCCCGGCTAAAATGATCGCTTCCCCGCCCACGCGACGCTGTGCTCGCCGAAACTGTCCGAACAAAGTCAGCAGGTATCGAGCCCGTTTGCAAACAATGCTCGCCGCGCTCGTCGATGCATCGCGATGCACCATGGTGCAACGTCAACAAGCCATTTAGGACAAATTTGTCGCTTGTAAATATTGCGCTAAGTTTCTTCTCGCGAGCTTTGGGAACCGATTTGCCCTCGTCTCGATTTTTCCATCGCATAGAATTTCTTGGTTGTTAATTTTTTGCGCTATTATTTTCTCGAGCTTCGTCGATTAGTGTTAGTCTCGCTGTGCCGGTTTTTTTTTATCGTGATTGCAATGATTAGGATATTTTCTGGGGAGAATTTATATTTATCGGGCAAGATATTTTTCATAATTATAATCGCTGCTTGACTTTCGCTGTAGTCGCAAAATTAATTCGGTGGATTGTGTGATACAGAACATCGGTAAAAGTAGTGTTAAATATGAATATTGTTCAATTGCTTGTTAATAATTATTTTCTTCTAGACTCATCGATATTTAATATTCTTTTTTTAATATTCTCTAATCCCTTTGGTAAAAATAGCGTTGAATAGAAGTTACTAAAAGGTGCCTTAGTTTTATTAAAAGTGTTAATAGCAGGTTATTACTAGAAATCTTCATCACGAGTCAAACTCGTCAGACTATAAGCAAAGGGTTAATAATTTTCCAAGTATTATAGAATGAAACAATTTTTGCTTCTTTGATGTCTCAATTTACCTTCGTTCGTAGATCTTCCTGACAAAAAGATTAAATTTCCTATTTTCATTCGATTTAGAAGAAATGCTTAACATTTATACTAACATTTGAGCCGTTTATTTTGAAAGTGGCATAAGTCACTTTGTTTTTAAGTCGATATATTTAATTTATTTAATTAATTATATATATATATATATTTAATAAATAATTATATATATTTAATTTATATTAAGTCGGCTCGTTTTTATCGTTGTTGACGATCGAAAACTACAGGGAGTCGCAAAAAGGTCTCGTAATCCGGAAGTGGAAGGTTCCCGAGGTGATTTCAAGTAACTTTTTCCTTAGCGAAAATGCAATCCGCGGCTTCGTTTGCGAGATATTAACGAAATTTACTTGTATTTGTTATCTCAGGATACTGATATTTTTCTCGGTATAAATAATTTCGTGACTTGTGCCACTTTCAAAATAAACGGCTCATTTATACTTAACAGACCACGTACGAAATCTTCATAGCGAGTCTGCCTCGTGTCCGCTCGTGTTTCCAAAGAGGAAATCGACGATCCTCGTTTACTACTCCGCGAACAAAGCGCACAGGGAAACAGCGTTTTATCGGAGAAGGTCAAGCGTTACAATAATTCAGCGAGCGACGCGTATCAGATCTCCGCGCGGATACGGAACAATTTATAAATATTGGCGTCGTAAAGGAATTCCTTTGCTCTCGGCCCTGTTCCAAAGATAGATCGGAACCCGAGGACAAATTCCATAAGCGCGTAAAATCCACAGTCTACTTATCAGCCGTGGCGGAGAGACGCGGCAGCGAAAGCTACTCGGCGTGTCTCCACGGAGCTTCTTCCTCTCCGCTATCTTTTCTCTGCTCGCGATCCCGCATCTTAACGACGGTCTCGCAAACTGGTCCGTGTCCTCCTCCTCCTCCCCCGCGTGGGCCGCGGCATTTGCATTCGGCCCGCGCGGTTTTTCACTACGCAAACGGTCTTTTCATTCAAATCAAGGCGATACGTTCCCCGGGCCGGAGTATGTCGGCCGGCAATTAAGATGTTTGTCTGGCAAATTTAGGGGAGATTTCGTGGAAGACTGATCGTGTGCTCCCTGAACTTCTCGGCGGGGCCCTTCGCGAGATACGCAGCGAGCACTCTCCAGCAAATCCTTGCGAAGCAACGAAACGTTCTGCCAAATGTCGAGGTTATTCGCGGTTATTATATGTATATGTATATATATTTCAATATTCATTTCAATTCAATTCAATTTTAAATATATATATTTCGCGGTTAAAGCGAATTGTGCTCTTCCGTTGTGAAACCGAGCATCAGTCCCAAAAATACTCGGGACGTCAATGTTATTTAATTAACGAGACCGATGGTTGATGACTGAAATTTACTGTGGTATCGATTAGTTTAAATCTTTCGCTCTCTAAAAATCATAGTTGCATTTCGTTCGTTTAATTTCAACCCTTAATTACCTGCGATGATAATACAGTTGGAAGAGAAATTGTAAAGTAATGAACGTCTTGATTTTCTTATCTATCGCTTTTATGTTAATAATAAAGTAATAAGTTTTGGTAGCTGTAGTAGTCAAGGGTTGAAAGTTAATTGTGAAAACGTAGCTGTAACTTGAAAAATCAGTGTCGGTGCAAATAATACAATTGATTGATATCTCGTCAATCATTTTTATCGAACGAAACTTGAGATATTTATAAACTAACAGTATATCAGAATATAATATATACAATATAATATATATAATATAAAATATGCTATATAATATTATAGCATATATATTTAATATAATATACCATATGATATTATAATAGCATATTAAGGGACAAGTGCTATCGCGCTTACCCTATTACATCTGTCTCTTATACACATCTAGATGTGTATAAGAGACAGATGTAATAGGGTAAGCGCGATAGCACTTGTCCCTTAATATGCTATTATAATATCATATGGTATATTATATTAAATATGTATGCTGTAATATCTGTCTCTTATACACATCTAGATGTGTATAAGAGACAGATGTAATAGGGTAAGCGCGATAGCACTTGTCCCTTAATATGCTATTATAATATCATATGGTATATTATATTAAATATGTATGCTGTAATATCTGTCTCTTATACACATCTAGATGTGTATAAGAGACAGATGTAATAGGGTAAGCGCGATAGCACTTGTCCCTTAATATGCTATTATAATATCATATGGTATATTATATTAAATATGTATGCTGTAATATCTGTCTCTTATACACATCTAGATGTGTATAAGAGACAGATGTAATAGGGTAAGCGCGATAGCACTTGTCCCTTAATATGCTATTATAATATCATATGGTATATTATATTAAATATGTATGCTGTAATATCTGTCTCTTATACACATCTAGATGTGTATAAGAGACAGATGTAATAGGGTAAGCGCGATAGCACTTGTCCCTTAATATGCTATTATAATATCATATGGTATATTATATTAAATATGTATGCTGTAATATCTGTCTCTTATACACATCTAGATGTGTATAAGAGACAGATATTACAGCATACATATTTAATATAATATACCATGTGATATTATGATAGCATATTAAGGGACAAGCGCTATCGCGCCGTTCACCATTTTTCGACCGTGTTTTTTCAATGACCCCTGGGACCCGCACGGTTAAACAGCGGCACAAATTCCGAGCTTACGATGGCAGGTACCGGATCGAGACGTAGATACGTTCCCGAGCGGGTGTTTCCCGCTCTAATGCAACGTCCGCTGGTCAGAGTTCTACCATATACATTCCGTACAACGATCCGAGGATACGGTTTCGCAATGGGATTAGGCGAGGTGCGCGCACGCATTTCTGTTGTCGGGCTTAGTTTCCTCTCCGTTTACAAAATACCCCGTGCTTCTCTGCTCGCTAATGCTGCCCATTATGCTATTTCGGCGCAAAGTTTCACGCTAATTGGCTCCTACGCCGCGGAAACTTCCGTTTCCCTGCGCGACGCCCGCGCTTTGACTGCAAATTCATCTTCGACCGCTTCGGCGACGTTGACATACAATTTGCGTAATTGTTTCGCAATTTATAGAAAATGGAAATTAAATTACATCAATTAATTAATAATAAGTGATTATTATATATAAACTATTATTTATTATTAATTTATATTTATATATTTATGTATAGGTTGTCCCAAAAATGTCTCGCAATCCGGAAATGGCGGGTTCCTTGGATCATTTGAAGCAACATTTTCCTTTACAAAAATTTTCTCCGAGGCACCGTTAACGAGTTATTAACGAAAAACAGTGACCAATAACAGTGGCCCAGTCCACCAGCGCACGAAGCCCAGTTCCGCTCATTGGCTCGGTCGCCTCGCGCCAGCCGAGCTCGCCTCTCATTGGTCACTGTTTTTCGTTAATAATTCGTTAACGGTGCCTCGGAGAAAATTTTTGTAAAGGAAAAAGTTGCTTCAAATGACCTGAGGAATCCGCCACTTTCGGAGTGCGAGACATTTTTGGGATACACTGTATATATAAATTATTATTTCATATATACAAATTATATATACAAATAATAATAAATAAATAAGTAAATAAATAGAAAATGCATATATCCCTCCGAAAGTTCTCTCAAGAGCAAAAAAAAATGTTGAAATTACATTCCGTACGATTTAACGTAACCTCAAAGGAAGCGATGTCCGCGGAGGGGCAACACTGCTTCTCCATTTCATTAAGTTTCGCGGAATAAAAGCTCCGTCCACTTCATCCAGTTACGGCCGTTACTTTGAAGCGCGAAAGCCGCAACGCACGGTGTCCGAGATGAGAAGCAAAGATTTCGCGTGCTCGAGCGACGGGAAAGGTAAATGTAATTATTCTTCGGCGTCGGCGACGCGACTCGCGCAGCCTCTGAAGATGCAAAGAAATTGAATGGGCGTTGTTCGTTCGGTGAATGCGTAAGAAGCGAGGGGGCCGGCTCGAGGCAGCTATCTTTAATTAATACTTCGACTTCTGTGCCCGAGTTCTCTCGAGCAGCTCGGAAGTTCGAAAGGGGAGCGGGCTGAATGGGAACAAGGGCGCAAGTGATAGTGGACCGTCGATGGTCAGACGCAACAGGCGCTGCATATCTCACCGGATCCCGGGCGCACTCTGCATACAGAAACGGTTCGAACTGAACTTCGAAGTGGGTGGTCTTCTTAACGCCTCTCCATTCAACGATCCGACAATCTTCGCGAACTTTCTTTCTTCTCTTTACTCTTCCCGCGTATATTTCGTCGTCGATTCGTCCGAATCGATCGGTTTACAGACGGATCGTTTATCGAGGAAACACGACGCCGAGGTGGTGTAATTAAACGTGTTACAACCCGCGGCCGGGCGCTTTATTGCACACTTTATTATCCTCATCATCTCCGCGAAGCACAACCGCCTTGCGATCCTTTGGAACGCGTAGAACTTTCCTGGTCTCGGTTTCGTTACGTTGTCTCGCCTTAACGCTGCAACTGTCGAGCCGTGAACGCTGCAAATTTACATTGTTTCGTGGCAACGACGAGATCAGAATTAACCGAACTTCGTACAATTTCTATTGAAATAGAAAAAGATAAAAGGCACGTTTTTTAATCTTTTTCTTTCTTTTTATCGGAGCCTATAACGAAAATTGAATAAACACGTTTTTTGTGAATTTCGGTGACTTGTGTGCATGCTGAAAATTCCGTCGGTAATTTGAGAATATTCCAAGGAATAGCAAAGTTACACAGATTATTATTCGAGTCTTGTAAAGATAATTCGAGGCGTTTAGTCCTGTTTTAAAAGAGACCCAGTCTTGCTTCTCGCTGTATATTACGATAAAAATCGCTAAACATCTGAATAGATGTACAGTACTTTCTCCCGGAAATGCCAAATTTTGGGTCGCTGTGAATTTCTCTGTGCTAGTCCTGCGTCTATGTAATTTACTGCTACGTCGATGCTAAGGGTCAATTGCCGAATTGCCTTCGAATCGTGTTACGTGGCCTTCAAATTGTCATTGAATCGTGTCACGTGGCCTCCGAATTGCCTTCGAATCGTGTTACGTGGCCTTCAAATTGTCATTGAATCGTGTCACGTGGCCTCCGAATTGCCTTCGAATCGTGTTACGTGGCCTTCAAATTGTCTTCGATTCGTGCCACGTGGCCTCCGAGTTGCCCTCGAATCCGCGTCATGTGGCCTCGGAATTGCCCTCGAATCGTGGCAAAAAATTAGAAATAAGAAAGTTAAGTCATCGTTTTTATTCTAGCATTACTATGTATTTCTATTAAGAATTCTCGGATCTGCCCGTTTCAAGTCCGACCTCCGAATATTTCTAGGAAAGATTACTATATACAATAAATTCTCTCTAAATGACGCTCAGATTGTCCACAAAAATTGACAATTTGGGAAGTCGAGATACGATTATTGGAGCCTTGCAGCTCGTTTTTATAGTTGTTGACAATCGATAACCATAAATTTCGAGCCACAAGGCTCGAAGAATCGTATCTCCTCTTCCAAAATTGTCCATTTTTGCTCACAATCCGAGCGTAAATTAGAGAGACATTACTGTACAGTAAATTCTCTGTAATTGGCGCTCAGATTGTCCACAAAAATAGACAATTTGCGAAGGAGAGTTACGATTGTTCGGGCTCGTTTTTAGAATGACCGATTTTCAACAACCATAAAAATGATCTGCGAGACTCGAACAATCGCATCTCCTCTTCCCAAACTGTCCACTTTTATGCACAATCCGAGCGTCAATTACATAGAATCTACTGTATGCATAACGTTTATGTAACAGCTGCTCCCAGTGCTCCGCAAACACATCGTTAATACCAAGGGAAACGGAAAGCTCCTGGAAAGATCCGCGAGATCCGTTCTCCATAAGAAGAATCCACGGGATCGAGGAGTCCTCGGACGAGCAAACAGAAACGTATTACCCAGAAATCGAGTCGGGGACTACGACGTCGCCTGCGACGTTCCAGGCGACGTCGTTTTGCACTCGACAATCTCGACGCAGTTTTTACAAGCTGCGCCGTCGCGAAACGACGCGATCACGATTTTATAAGCACCGGCGTAACGTCGACGTTGTAAATAACGGAGGTCTGGCCTCCGTCGCAGTGGAATAGGTCGGCGCGCAGTCAGACGCGCCGTCGGATTCCGCTTCTGGTTTATGGTGGTAGCGCGGCGGTTTCACGGCACCGTCGACTCCGCGAGCTTTCAGATTCCAGGATAACGGGGCGGCGGTTCGGCTGGAGCACGCGACTCATGTTTATTCCATGATGCGCGTTCGCGGGAGATCGAACGACGCCGCCCACGATCCACCCCCGCGTTCTCGTACTGTCGCGCAACAATTCGGTCCCCGGGGATGATTATGCTCGCGGGAACGGCCCGGAACGGGGGCCGGAAACTCGTGGAGCCGACGGGAAACCGGGCAAACGAGGCAGCTCGGCTGCGATCGTCCCGGCGAACGATTATTCCTCTCTCGTCCGAGACCCGCGAGGTGAATTTCCCAGCACGACCCGCGGCCGCGTCTTCCGCGTGCAGATTGAAACGGTTTCACACCGGCCGTGGGCCGCGATTTTCAATTATGGAGATATCGGTTATCGTTCGATGAAGCTCTTCCACCTGTCGATCAAGTCGTCGATCGACTGTTTTCACTTTGACAAATACTTCTGCGGCATCGTCGGAACCAGTTGCTGTTCGAGTTAGAGCTTCTTTACCGTTCGAGACTTTCATCTCGTCGAGCTTCCATCCTTTCTGCCTGGCGCCCTTATTAGTGATTAATTAATTAAATATGAATCCGCGATGCTCCCGGAGTCGCGGTACTATCGCGGTCAGTGTTCACAGGAGAAGTAGCTACGCGAGGAGTGGGGCGGCGACGCACGCGCAGAGAGCTCCGCGCAGCGGTGCGGTGGGTCTACCGGGTGAACATTATGGCTCCGAAGGCCTTCGGAGGCTTTCCGAAGCTTTCTGAAGCTTCCAGAAGCTTTGCGTCGCGACTAATTAGCAGGACGTCGAGATTTTCAACGAAAATATTTTCGGAGCACTTCGAATAAAACGCGGACATCGAATCCGGTCCCCGATAGCGGAGCGTTTCTCACCTTGATCCTCCGCACCGACTTTCTACTGTTGTTGATCACGTGGATCTGCACCTCGATCGAGTCCCCGTGGGCGTAGATCGCGCGATCCAGCTTCCCTTCCAAACGGACGCGGCCGTCGCCGAACAGAAACGGCTTCTCCACCGCCGCGTACGAGCCGCTGTTCTCTGCAACCGAGATACGCCGAATTTTGATTTATCCCGACGTTTCTGCTCCGCTCTGGTTAGATAACACGGGATTATTTTGGCTTCTGGCCACGCGATAGACGCGGGTCCGGGTTTTATCGCGCGCAGATCCGCAGTGGCTCCAAGAATTAAAAAAAAAGAAGAACATTAACTCTTTGCCGCGACACTCCGAAGCGGTGCTAAAAATTACTATATCGTGTTCCATAAGGATTTGCGCACTATGAAATTTGTTCACGTTTAAATAACAGTTTATAGTGCAACGCGAGTCGCAAGACTTAATTTTTTAACTTTCGTTCTGCTCGTTTCACAATGGGGACACTGTTCCGTCGCAGTGGGAAGTAACATCGTCGCGCTTAAAGCGATTCAAAAAATCGCTTCTCGCTTCTTCGTTATTTATTTCGAAGATAGACCAATTGAATTTACTTGAAAAATATATAAATCAGATATTTCCGAAGAACGAAGGATTGATCGAACAAATCGAAATAATCATTTTGCGGAGATTTCTTGAGATAGTGAGCATTCTCGCGATGGTACGCGATTCGAACATAAAATCGCTGCGACGTCGCCGATTTCGCGATTCGAGCGAATGTTCTCAAGGATCGATTCTCAGCAGAATCGTTCGTAATACAGCGGGCAATCGAAATTAGCACTGCCACGATAAATCGCGTTAAATCGCGTTAAATCGTTAAATCGTCGCGGAACAGAAAAGCGGACTCACCCTGGTCTTCGGCGATCTCGTTCTCCGCGAACGAGACTCTGGTTTTGCAAACCTGGCTTCTCGGGTCCGTTGACGGGCTTTCAGACACCGGCACGGTGTACACTGTGCACGCTGGCAGTGGAGGTTTGGTAGTTCGTTGAATAACTCGGATGCCCATGCTGACGGTCGTTCCTCGCTGCAATTTCTCGTCCGGTTGCTCCGCTGCGCACACAAAACCGGCTTTTAAGTATTCGATTTACGATTCTCGACATACAATCCGGAACAAGATACGCTAATTTCTCTCGGAAATCTCCGAGAGGTCGGACTTGAAAACGGCAAATACGAGAATACTAAGTCGCGATTCTTCATCTTTTCTACGCAGTTGCAACGAATACAGTAATGTCTCCCTTACTGACGCTCAGATCGTCCACTAAATTGGACAATTTGGGAAGAGGAGATGCGATTGTTCGAGCCTTGTGGCTCGATTTTATGGTTATCGATTGTCAACAACTATAAAAACGAGCTGCAAGGCTCGAACAATCGTATCTCCTATTCTCAAATTGTCCATTTTTGTGGACAATCTGAGCGTCATTTAGAGAGAATTTACTGTACATAGTGATCTCTCCTAGAAATGTTCGGAGCTCGGACTTGAAACCGGCGAATCCGAGAATACTAAGTCGCGATTCTTCATCTTTTCTACGCAGTTGCAACGAATACAGTAATGTCTCCCTTACTGACGCTCAGATCGTCCACTAAATTGGACAATTTGGGAAGAGGAGATGCGATTGTTCGAGCTTTGTGGCTCGATTTTATGGTTATCGATTGTCAACAACTATAAAAACGAGCTGCAAGGCTCGAACAATCGTATCTCCTATTCTCAAATTGTCCATTTTTGTGGACAATCTGAGCGTCAATTAGAGAGACATTACCGTAGATCGATTTGATCGATTTAATCGTTTCACTGGAGTGGCAACGTTAATCTTTAGACTGCCGGCACGATGGCCACGCGAAGATGCTGATATTTTACCGTATTTCGGAGATTAAGTATTGTTAACCCTTTCGCGCCGAGTGCCGCATACGATAGATGAAGTGTATACAGAAGACGCAGATGTGTAATTTGTAGCAAAAATGATAAAAGAACGGATTCGCGATGTTTCAAATATATCGCATAGAATTATATTATTAGTTTTCACATATTATTATCTTCTAATAATTTTCGTCTCGTTATTAATTGTATTAAACATTTAACCGTTAGGCTTTGTAATTATATAAATACCTACGTTATCTATAATTTTGTAAGTCTTTTTAAATTAAAAATCTAAATATACTTGTTACATTAGAGCAACGATTGTTTTATTCGGCGCAGTTATTACTTAAGACTTAGAACAACACGCGCACTGTGCGTATTTCTGAAGCGAGTTTCCGTCCAGTGACGGTACTTCGGCGGATGGAGCAGCCGTAGCGAAAGGGTTAAATAAATATTTTTCCTCGGAAGTCGAGTCGGATGAAAGAGAACCACCTGTTCTCCAAAACACGGTACATTATTAGCGAATGTGCATACGAATTTTCGACGACCTTGTCAAGGTCGAAAATTGCAGTGCCATGGTTCGCAACAAGGTTTACGTTCCTAAATCAGTTTCCATTCGACAAATCGCCGAGAAGTTGAACAACTAGCGCGAGTATAAATGCGCTCTGAGTTTCGTATAAACGAGAAACGGAAACGACGCGGACACGGACTGAAAATGTTAGGTCAGGACAAATGTCCGCGTTAATCCGCGTTAAACAGCTTCCAGCGTAAAGGATCGAAAGGTTAAACGACCGAGTTTCTTTCGAGGGTGGCGAGAGTTTAGAGATCGTCTGGCCACAGTTATTTACCGAAAACACTGCCGCGGTGGGCAACTCGGTCGACCGTGCCCGGTGCCTTGACGGTGCGGGTTGGCACCGGGATAATTGAATTTGCGGCGCACGACCGTAATACGGGCCGGGGATTGTTAAGTCGGTGACTTTACAAACGAGGAACTACGAGCCCGAGCCTGCTCGCGAACAGCCGGGGATAGATCGCGCAATCAACGCTCGTTTGTCCCGTTCTCCGACAACGGATCATGCTAAATTCTTCCGTGAAACGCCGGATTCCGAAAAATAGCCTGCTACAATAGGCTCTTGTGAGCTCTCGTTAGCTGAAAATGGACCGCGCTTGGACCTTAGTTGGCCGATCCTGTCGACATAATAATAAATAACCAGCTCGCGGGCGGACCTGGTCGCATTTGAAATCTCATTTTTTTCATAATTGTGCGAATTAATTATTTAGAATAATCGTAATGTTAAATTCAATGTTTGTTGCTGGTTCGCACGTTTTTGCTTCAAACAAATGCTTTCGTCGAGATTCCTCGAGATATTTTGTTGATTATTTCCTCGCGTAGAGAACATCGCTTTGAATAGATTGTTGCAAAGTTATCATAAAGTAAAATCTCGTTGATTATAATTTTGTGGATTATTTTCTCGTGACAGCAGCATTGTTTTAAATCAATTTGCGGCGAGGATTTCTATGAGATAAAATCATTCTGTTCATTATTATTTTCAATCTGAAATACAGAAATCGTTGTTTCAAATCGCTTTATCCTCGAACGAATATTATATAAAATATATTTAAACAACGGGCCGAACCGGATCGTTTCGAATAATTATGTTTTTGTATTTTTACCTCGAATAAAATTTGCCCAGTCGGCTTACCTACCGACAATGAAGCTATCGAATGACGGTACCGGTTCCCATTTTTCAGTCAACTTCGCTGCTATTACAAAACGCGGCGGTGTTGCTTCGCGAATATTTCCGTCCTCCGAACACGAGCTAGATGTATCTTTTATTCCCGTCCAGTTCTTTGTAACAGTTTTTCCAACGATAATCCACAGAGCTGTCGCAAGACAGACGTTAACGTAGCTTCGAAACAAACAAAGAGAACGGAGCAGTAAAAAGAGCTTTACGCGCGAGAACAAACGCGGGTAACGTTAAACGCGTGCGAATGACAAAAGATGAACGTTCCGTGAAAAATGCGAACAGCGGAGGATGCGCGACGGTTCGTTGCAGCGGACTGTAAAGCAAAGCCGAAAGGAACCTCGTTCGCGCGCCGTAAAGCGTTATCCGGGACCGATGTCGTAAAATCGTTTGCACGAGCAAGTCCGAAATTCGTTCGACTCACCCACGTAGATCCGGACATCGTAGCTGCTCCCTATGGGCGCGCCATTGTACTCCTTCGCCGGGACCAATTGCACCGACGGGGGTGCTAATGGGGTGATCACCATGGTGAAAGCGTGAGCGTTGGGACCGAGCTTCCTGACGATCGCCTCCTGAAACCGATCGGAGAAGGTTCTCGTTAAGTCTCGCACGTCCCGGGTCCTCCGTAACGATCTATGATCCCCGATCGACTGGTTGATCGTTAAAATAACGCCGCTGGAACCGGTCCAAATTATTATTCGGGAAAGAATCGGCACGATTATCCCGGTGTCGCCGTAATCCGGGCTCGGACGCGCCGATAAACCGAGCTAATTCGGGCGCGCGCGGCCTCGTTAACATCTGGCTTTATGATTTTACGAGGCACGCAGCCGTCAGATCATTTCGTTCCCATGCTAGCCGGATCCAGCCGATTCCACGGCTTATCCTGGCTCGTTAATTGCTTCGTTGCCCGACGGAGAATTCGATGCTCGCGGTTTCGCCGCGCGATTAGCCCGCGCGTCGTGCCGCTAATTAGCCGCGGTCCTGGCGCTGATAGCACAGGAAAGTTTGCTGCTCGATAAGGACGAAGATTCTTCGCGATTTTCTTGGATAAAGCAACAGCTGCATCTGTTGATCCTCTCTCAATTTCCCTGGGAAGCCTGATTCCGAAAGACAAGCATCGAACTGTCCTCTCGCTGTCTCTCGTTCAATCAGCCCGCGGCCTTCTTGAGGTCTCTAATTTGGTTACGGATCCTTTGATGCCTTCGCTCTTCGCTCTACGACGCGTTTATTTCCGCTGTTTGTTCTGCTGTTTGGTCCCGCAGACCTTTGTTCGTCGGTCGATATTATCGTTGCGCGTAAGTTCGAGTCGATCGCGCACTGCGAACACTTTTTATCGTAATTCCTGTGGTTCTTTGATTGTCGGATTTTTTTAGAGGATCGGTATCGCAAGATTTAATTTCAGTTTTTCGAATAATCGCAAAGACGACGAAGACTAGCGAACAAAAATTTCGTTCGCCGCTATCGAGTTAATACGCGAGCGAATAAAACTTTCTCTAGATTAAAATTTCCCCCGATAATATCAGTGCAGGGATTCATACGGAGATTAAACAATTTTAATAAAGTGATGGAATATAAAGTGCCTTTTTTTTACATAGTTCATCGATTCATCCCGTCGGCAATTTTATGGTTTCATAAGCAGTTGCAATTGAAATGATCCCGTATTCGTATAAATATATTTTTATCAAATTCGTTATTAACGATTATTCGCATTATTATTAAACGATTGTTCGCATTATTGTTCGAATAATTTTACGATCTCCATTTGAGTAATTTATTCGAATTATCGACGACGAATAAATGAATAATCGTTATCCGAATAAAAATGTTCGCCAGAAAAGCTATTCGCTCGGATAATTATCTTAGATTATTCATTTACTTAGTATTTATTGGAAACCGTTCGAATAATGCTCGACCCTGCGCACCGCCAATAACTGGATTAAATTTCCTCCATATAAAAACGTACGATTCGCGAGCGGAGTGTTCAAACGAATTTTTTCTCATTAGCGCGATTTAAATCCGAGAAAATCCGCCGACGGGAAAAAACTGCGCGAAGCAGTAATCGGCGAACGAATCGTTCTGGGCGATTGATATTTAATTGAGAATCGTTTCACCCCCGTTTCACCCCCCCCCCCCTCACCGGTAGGTTTTTATCAGCGGCTGATTTCGCTCTGGCGTCAAAGAACTCCCGGAACAGATTCGTCGGTCTATCTTCTTTCGCTCGGTTTTTTTCCACCGGGCCGCTTAGGCGTCGCTGTCCCCTTTTTTTTCTTCTCGTTCCCCGACTTCGAACAGCTCCCGCATGCATGATTGATGAGCCGCGCGAAACGCCTTTCAGCTTTATCGCGTTGCCACCTTTAAACGCGTCACGAACGTCGCAACGTACTCTGCTGTCCGTGAAACGACCTTATGAATCCGTTCCCCGGGCTTTTTCCTTTCGCAGTCGCTAACCTTTGACACGTCGACCGGCCGCCAAATAGCAACGCGAATCCTAAACCAGCTCTTTCAGAATCGATTTGTCACGCGACACGACACGATCCAAACGAATCCGATTTTCGCCTAGGATGCGCTCGGAATATAAAAGCAGAGGGTTGGGAAACATGAAATATGGTGAATAATCTGTCGGCGAACAAGCGTTTAATGAACGCGGACGCGGCAGAAATCGCAGTGCAAAATGTCAGTTAACATGTTAATGGCTGGCGTCAATCTGTAAAACAATCTAAGTTTGGAATTGAGCTCTCGGGTCCATCGCAGCCGACGGAGTTCGTTCCGGGAGCATTTTCGCGAGCTCCCTTCAAAAGAGACATTTGCAACATTGATTATTCGTCTTTCATCGGGACGGGCCGGTTCGCCGGTGAACAACGAAATTAAATTGGTAAACGAATCTGTTAGGCAAACTGCAGGTCCGCGTGCGAAACATTTCCTCGAGGAGGCTGAAATGGCGGCCCGGTGTGCAGAGTGCTCGCGCGCCTTTTGTGCCGCTTTCGGAATACACCGACTATGCAGCCGGAAACTGCATTCGGCGTTTCAGCGACGGATTCGCGATATTTGCATAAACACACACCCGGCCGAGCGTGCGACGTGGTTACATTTTCTCCCGCGACTCTGATTAACGGGCATTGAAGGGACACGCGCCGCGGGATACGCGAACAGAATTAACGGGAATTTTTCATGGCTGTCGTGCGCGCATCTCCGGGTCCTCTGGGAGCCGATCAAATTATGCTCAGGAATGTAAACGAGGCGAACTTGCCAACGATGCTAATGCACTTTCGCAAATAACCGAGCCCGGTGTCCCCGAGGATCGTCCTCCGGCCGGCGACTGCGGGCCGTTCTTTCCCGTCTCCGGAGGAAACGATCCTGCGGGAGAATGACCTGACCTGGTACGATTTTTAGGTAGGATGGTTCGAAAGGACTTGTGCACTCGTTGTACAGTATACACGTTATCCCAAAAAATGCCTCGCAATCCGAAAATGTGGGTTCCTGAGATCATTCGAAGCAACTTTTTCCTTAGCGAAAATGCAATCCGCGGCTTCGTTTGCGAGTTATTAACGAAAAACAGTGACCAATAAGAATCGAGTACGGCTGACGCGAGGCGGCCCAGTCAGCCAGCGCACGAAGCCCGGTTCCGCTCATTGGCTCGGTCGCCACGCGCCAGCCGAGCTCGCCTCTCATTGGTCACTGTTTTTCATTAACAACTCGTTAACGGTGCCTCGGAGAACATTGTTGTAAAGGAAGAAGTTGCTTCAAATGACCCGAGGAACNAACACACACCCGGCCGAGCGTGCGACGTGGTTACATTTTCTCCCGCGACTCTGATTAACGGGCATTGAAGGGACACGCGCCGCGGGATACGCGAACAGAATTAACGGGAATTTTTCATGGCTGTCGTGCGCGCATCTCCGGGTCCTCTGGGAGCCGATCAAATTATGCTCAGGAATGTAAACGAGGCGAACTTGCCAACGATGCTAATGCACTTTCGCAAATAACCGAGCCCGGTGTCCCCGAGGATCGTCCTCCGGCCGGCGACTGCGGGCCGTTCTTTCCCGTCTCCGGAGGAAACGATCCTGCGGGAGAATGACCTGACCTGGTACGATTTTTAGGTAGGATGGTTCGAAAGGACTTGTGCACTCGTTGTACAGTATACACGTTATCCCAAAAAATGCCTCGCAATCCGAAAATGTGGGTTCCTGAGATCATTCGAAGCAACTTTTTCCTTAGCGAAAATGCAATCCGCGGCTTCGTTTGCGAGTTATTAACGAAAAACAGTGACCAATAAGAATCGAGTACGGCTGACGCGAGGCGGCCCAGTCAGCCAGCGCACGAAGCCCGGTTCCGCTCATTGGCTCGGTCGCCACGCGCCAGCCGAGCTCGCCTCTCATTGGTCACTGTTTTTCATTAACAACTCGTTAACGGTGCCTCGGAGAACATTGTTGTAAAGGAAGAAGTTGCTTCAAATGACCCGAGGAACCCGCCACTTTCGGATTGCGAGACATTTTTGGGACACCCTGTAGAATACTTCTTTATTCATCGGCGGACGATGCCGTTGCACGATGCAGAGGCGATCCGCATTCTTGCGGAAAGAACGCGGAAAGAAACGCGACGCATTCCCGTGCAACTTTCGCGATCGGTGTCGAGACGAAGCGATTTAAATCATCTCCGAGATTGTGTTTCACGGAGAAAAGTGTTCTTCAAAGTCGCCATCAACGGATCCGCAATCGCTCGAAAGCCACTCTGGTTTTCTCTCGAATACTTCTCGAAGCCACGAAAACGGAAATTCGCCGTCTCTCGTTCGAGACGCGAATCGTGTCGTTTGTGCGTCCCCCTCCCCCCGTGTCTCTTTGGCTCATATTTTTCTCATCTTTACAGCGGAGCACCTGGCTTCCTTCGACCGTTACCGGGGTGCATTATTATTTCGGTGAACAACCGTGCAGTTTCATCTCGCTTTGAAGTCTGCCGTTCCGAGGACGTCCCGTTTTCTCGTCGAACGGGAACGATTCTACCGTGCTTCTGTTTTATTACTTTCGTAATACAGTGGCCTGCAAAAGTGTTCGTACACCGTCTAAAACTGGACTGACTTGACTTTTTTTTTTAGATTGCGGGACTAGCCGACTAGACGATGACCAAAATGCTGTTTTTAAATTTCGCTGTTACTTGGACTGACAAGAAAAACAAAACTCTTGTTTTTTAAACTTTGAGCTTGTAACGAAAATTTAAAAAATGCCTCTCGCAGATCGAAAAATGTTATCGAGTTATGTGACAAATTAAAGATAGCAAAAATCGCAGTTTCAACACGATTTTGATAAAAAAACTGGAAGAAATCTGCAGAGACGTACGAAAGGCAAGTTAAAAAATGGGAGCTTCTTTTTTCTTTGTCGTCCCAAGTAATAGCAAAATTAAAAAAAAAGCACTTCGATCATCGTCTAGTAGACTAATCCCTCTATCACCCAAAAAAAGAAAAATTCAAGTCATTGAGTTTGAAAAAAGTTCCTGCCATCTGGAAGTCATCTGGAAGGCGCAGGAACACTTTTGCGGACCACTGTACGTCGTCGGCGCGAGGAGACGTCGCCGTCGGAGG